CGCAATTACTGTACAAAGATGAGCATGGGAGAGTAGTGGTGGTGCAGATGGTGTTTCATGGAGAAAAAATAGTTGTGGTTGGAATATACGCCCCGAATGAGAAAAAATCAGCATTCTTTTTGGAATTAGACAATATATTAATGGAATGGACGGATCAGAAAATGATATTGATGGGAGACTTTAATGGGGTGGTGACGCCGAATATGGATAGATCAACAAAAAGACGAGATGGGAAAGAAGGTAAATTACCACGATCTTTCTTTGACATGGTAAATAATTTGGGATTGACGGATGCTTGGAGACTCAAAAACCCCACTGCAAAACAATTTACTTTTTTTTCAAATCCGAATCAGAGTTGGGGGAGGATAGACAGTATTTGGGTCTCAAGGGAACTGGTACAGAACCTAACCAAGTCTGAAATTTGGCCCCGAACTTTATCTGATCATAGCGCGGTTTCCATGGAGTTAAAAGGTAGAGAGGTTAAAACAGCCAGATGGAGAATGAATGAATATTTGTTTAATGATCAAAGGATAGTAAATAAGGCTATAGAAACAATTGAAGAATACTTTAGGTGGAATTTAAATGGAGAAACTTCCATAGACATGGTGTGGGATGCAGGAAAAGCGGTCATGAGGGGTTTTTTGATTCAGAAAAATAGCCAACTAAGAAAAGAAAAAGAAAAAAAGAAAGAGCAGATTTTAACACAGATTATGGAAAACGAGAAAAAATTAACTGTTAACCCTAGTGAAGAGAGTTTAAAACAGAACTTAAAAATATTACAAGCTAAATTTGCTACAATAATTAACCAAGAGATAGAGTGGAAAATTAAGAGGATGAACCAAAAGAACTTTGAATTCGCAAATAAGATAGGGAAATATCTAGCGTGGCAGCTGAGAGAAAGGAAGAAGTTGAGTATGATCAGTAAAATAAAAGAAGGAGATGTGATTATGGAAGAACCAAAAGAAATAAAAAGAATATTCCAAAGATATTATAAGGATTTGTATAAAAGAGGAGAGGAAACAGAACAAGAAATAGATCAATTTTTGCAAAAATTCCATCTGGAACAAATTGTAGAAGATGAAAGAGCAGCACTGGATGAGATAATAACACAGGAAGAGATAAAAAAGGCTATCAAAAAGATGAAAGCTGGAAAGGCGCCGGGACCGGACGGCCTTCCGGCCAAATATTATAAAATATTAATTAACCAAATATCACCAGTGCTGGGAGAGGTTATGAATAATATACTGAGAAATGGAAAGATACCTAACACCTGGAAGGAAGCCTATGTTACATTGATTCCTAAGAAAGAGGTCGACACTATGGAAGTAAAGAACTATAGGCCAATCTCATTATTAAATAATGATTATAAACTATTTGCGGATATAATGGCGGAAAGATTAAAGAAGGTCTTGACTAATAAAATTCATGGTGATCAGACAGGATTTCTCCCAGGGAGACAACTACGGGATAATGTAAGGAACCTGATTGACATTATTGAATACCTGGATATGAAAATAGACAGAAAAGCTGCATTGGTTTTCATAGACGCCGAAAAGGCATTTGACAATGTATCATGGAACTTCCTAAAGAAGGTTTTGGAGAGGATGGGAATTGGCGAAACATTTAGAAGAGGCGTAGAAGCAATATACAAAGAACAGAAAGCAAAGCTGGTGATAAATAATAATACAACAGAATACTTTAACATTTACAAAGGGACCAGACAAGGTTGCCCCCTATCCCCCTTATTATTCATTATAATTTTGGAAGTACTTAATAAGAGACTGAGAGAGGCAACAGAAGTGAAAGGAATTAGAGTAGGAAAGAGGGAATTTAAAATTAAAGCCTTTGCCGATGATATTGTTTTGACTTTGGAAGACCCACAAGATAGTGTAAAAGAAGCATTACAAAAAATTGAGGAATTTGGAGAGGTGGCAGGTTTTAAGGTAAATAAGAATAAAACTAAAATGCTGGTTAAAAATCTAACTAAAGAAGAAACGAAAGATCTAGAACAAAAAGTGGAAATCATGGTGGTGAAAAAAGTCAAATATTTGGGAGTGTGGATCACGGCAAAAAACATAAATCTATATAAAGATAATTATGAAGTTACATGGCAAAAAATAAAGAAAGATTTGGAAATATGGGGGAGGATGAAATTTTCCTTCTTAGGGAGGATAGCAGTGGTTAAAATGAATGTTTTGCCGAGGATGTTGTTCTTATTTCAAACTCTTCCAGTTATTAAAGGTTTAAAACAATGTAAAGAATGGCAGAGAACCCTGATGAAATTCATCTGGCAGGGGAAAAGACCAAGGATTAAAATGAAAATATTAACTGATAAAAAGGAAAGAGGAGGTTTTGCTCTCCCAGATTTGAGTTTATACTATGAAGCAGCGTGCCTACTTTGGCTAAAAGATTGGATAAAATTGGAGAACAGAGATCTATTGGATTTAGAAGGTTTTAATAATTGCTATGGGTGGCACGCATATCTCTGGTATGAGAAGGTGAAAGTCCATCGGGCTTTCCTAAATCATATTTTCAGGGGCCCAATATATCAGGTCTGGGAAAGAAATAAGAATCTTCTTGAAAGAAAAACACCATGGTGGATCTCACCGGTAGAGGTCTTAACAATAAAAAAGATTAACATGGAAGGGAAGACAGCCACTTACGAAGATTTGGTAAGAAATTCAGAACAAGGGCCTAAACTTAAACCGTATGAGGAAATAAAGGATCAATTCACCGGTTGGCTACAATATCATCAGGTGAATGATATGTTAAAGCAAGATAAAAGAAAAATGGGCTTTGAGGATAAGAAATCAAAATTCAATATAGAAATAATAGAAGGTAAAAACAAAACTTTGTCTAAATTATATGACATATTACTGGAATGGCATACAAAGGACGAGGAAGTCAAAGAGGCAATGATTAAATGGGCATCTGACTTCGGCTATAACATCGAATTTGAAAAGTGGTTGAAATTGTGGAATAGAGATATTAAATTTACGGCCTGTACGAGCTTGAGAGAAAATGTTTGGAAAATGCTCTATAGATGGTACCTCACGCCGGCAAAATTGGCTAAAATGTATAGATCAGAAAATAAGACATGCTGGAAATGTGGTGAAGTGCAGGGAGACCTTTACCATATGTGGTGGCAATGCAACAAGGTGAAGGTTTTTTGGGAAGCAATTTATAATGAACTTAAAAAAGTCTTTAAATATACTTTCCCCAAAAGACCTGAGGCCTTTTTGCTGGGAATTATGGGTAAGGAAATAAAAAATGAAGATAAAAAAATATTTCTCTATGCCACCACAGCCGCAAGAATTATGCTGGCACAAAACTGGAAAATAGAAACTATACCTAATGTAAGTGACTGGCAGGTCAAAATGATTAATTATGCTGAGCTAGATAGATTAACAAGCAGAATACGAGACCAAGATGACCAGAAATTTCAAAAAAATTGGTGTAAATTTTGGAAATATATTGGAACGGATATATAGGAGGAACTGGCGGTATTAGAAAAACTTTATCAGCTAATAACTATAAACTTTAATAAACTAATTACGCTACCTGGGATTTATTTGATACTTACCAAAAGGGTGAAGGGAAGTCAAAGGCTAAGTAGAGTCCAAGGTTTATATTATTTGTTGGTATGATTGTACGTTTTTATTTTTGTATAGCATGAAAATAGGATGAATAAGTTATGTTAAAATGTTTATTTTTGTATGTGTTTGTACTTTTTTCTTTACAAATTTTGAATAAAAATTTACTTGCAAAAAAAAAACACAAAAAAAACAATTTCAGCCTCAGATTATTAATGAGCTTTTAGCTCCCTAAACTAGGGCATGTATGGGAGCTGCTCTCCTATGGCTTATACCATGGGTAGGCAAACTAAGGCCCAGGGGCTGGATCCGGCCCAATCACCTTCTAAATCCAGCCCACGGACAGTCCGGGAATTAGCGTGTTTATACATGAGTAGAATGTGTCCTTTTATTTAAAATGCATCTCTGGGTTATTTGCGGGGCCTGCCTAGTGTTTTTACATGAGTAGAATGTGTCCTTTTATTTAAAATGCATCTCTGGGTTATTTGTGGGGCATAGGAATTCGTTCACCCCCCCAAAAAAATATAGTCTGGCCCCCCACAAGGTCTGAGGGACAGTAGACCAGCCCTCTGCTGAAAAAGTTTGCTGACCCCTGGCTTATATCCATGTGACTTGTATATTTCCTCATCCCCCTCTGCATTAAGGATGTTACGACTATTTATAGAAGGGATGGGGAACCTCTGACCCCACGGCCAAATTATGCCTGCAAAGCTATTTCTCCCAGTCATTGGTGTTGGGCAGGGAAAGCTTCAGCTGCAAAGGAACAATCTGGAGCCTTAAAGGATGGTCCTGATTGTTCCTTGGCAAGCATGGCTTGCATCTTTTAAATTTGGTTCCAAATGCAAGCTCTACTGGGATGGATTCCACTTGGGAGCTCCCAATCAGAGTCGATCCCTGCTGAAAACACTAAATGCAAACCATGCTTTCAGAAGGAATCTTTGCTTGAATTCAACCCATGGCTGTAAAAACAAAACATAACACAACCAAAAAAACAAAACAAAACCTTTCTTTGCAGCCCTGGCTTAAATTAAAGTTGGGGCTGTAAAAGAAGGAAAGAATCAGAACCACACTTACAAGTGTGCTCTTGATTTTTCTTTGAAGTTTGAATTGCCTGACATCATGTGAAGTCAGGTGATTGACAGGTAGGTCAAAAATGGCCCGCAGAGGACAAGCCATATCTGAACCCAGCATTAGCCCTTACAACAGAAAAAAATGTAAGTTTTTATTTGGTAGTCAGTAATTCAATAGGCTGCTCCTATAACTAAGAAAACAGTAAACATTTCACAGTTGGTGGCCTATTATGCCTGAGAACGAGAACACTACTTTTCAAACAACCATTTCAAACTTTCCTCTCCTAGTTCATGTTGACAGCTTACTAACATTTTTGCACAAGACACAGGGACTTACCTGGATCTCCTCGTCGTCCAGCCTTTCCTCGCCTTCCAGGTGGACCTGTGCAGGGGAAAAAAAATACATACATGTAACTTTGGTCTCACTTATCCACCTTTCAGAAAACTTAAACCAGTTTACATGGGGATCCCAAGCAGTCTTCCACTGAGGCAGTGACCAGGTTGAGAGGCCTCTTTGGCTTTCACAATGCAATAGCATCATGTGCTGGGGTGCGGAATCTGCAGCCCAGATGCAGCCCTCCAATTTCATTCAGCTGCATGTGCCATCATCCTCCTATGATACTGTGGCCCACATTTGCCTCTTTCGAATGCCCCTCAAGCACCTTCACATGCTTCCTCTTTGTTGACTCCTGAGGGATTGATGGCAGTGGTGGAGAAATGCCAGGGGAAAAGAAGCTGAACAGAAGTCTAGTGTCCAGACCAAGGGAAGTAATAGTACCACTCTATTCTGCAGATCACACCTGGAATACTGTGTCTAATTCTGGGCACCACAATTTAAGAAGGATATTGATAAGCTGGAATGTGTGCAGAGGAGGGCAACCAAGATGATCAAGGGTCTGGAAACTAAGCCTTACGAGGAGTGCTTGAAGGAGCTGGGTTATGTTTAGTCTGGAAAAGAGGAGATATGATAGCCATCTTCAAATATCTTAAGGGCTGTCACATGGAAGAGGGAACATGGTTGTTTTCTCCTGTTCTGGAGGGTAGGACTTGAACCAATGGCTTCAAGTTATAAGAAAGGAGATTCCAACTAAACATTCAGAACAATTTTCTGACAGTAAGAGCTGTTCAGCAGTGGAACAGACTCCCACAAGAGGTGGTTGGCTCTCCTTCCTCGGAGGTTTTTAAGCAGAGGTTGGATGGCCATCTGTCATGGATGCTTTACCTGAGATTCCTGCATTGCAGGGGGTTGGATGAGATGGCCCTTGGGTGCCTTCCAACTCTAGGATTCTATGATTCTATGACACCACTGCCTTGCAGGGCATCCCTGGAGGTGGTGTGGGTGGCAAAAACAAGCAAGAATGGGAGAAATGGGGCAGTGGATGGGGGACGGGGAGGAAAGGAAAGGGTGTGTGGAACCAAAGCAGTCCTGTTAAGAAGAGGATAATAGGAATGACAAGAGAGGTGAAGGGAGGAGGAAACCAAAACTAAGGTGTGGCCCAAAGGCACATGAGGCCACCACCCTGCTGAAGCTAAGTAGTTCTGGGTTTGGTGAGCATTTGATTGCCTGGGAACCACATGTGTATGTCACTTTCAGATCCATGATGGAAGAATGGCAGAATTTAAATTTAAGAAAATTTCTAAACAAATAAGGTTGAAATGGCCCCCTGTCTTGCATTGCTGTATGGGGAAGGGAGAGGGGGACAGAAAGATGGAGGGGTAGGGGAAAGTGGAATGGCCCTCCTGTCTTGCATCAAGCCTTGGGGAGGGACAGAGAGGAGGGAAGGAGAGAAGGAAGCTGGAATGGGCCTTGTGATGGGGTGCCAGTGGGAAAGAGATATATGTCTGTGGTTGGTGGTCTTGCTTATTCCGCAGGGAAGACCTGAAGCCACTGCAATCAACAGGCAGTGAGAAAAATGATAGAAGTACTACTCATTTTTTTAAAAAACAAGAAGAAAGCTTTCCATCTGTAACACTGTATTGTCAGTTTTTTACAATACTGCATGTTTTCATCATCTGCATTGTTGTATAAACGCTTCAGTTAGTGGAAACCATATAAAAAGATCTAGACTATTAGACATTCCCAGTCTATGAAATAATTGTTGAACTGCCAAAAAAATGTTTCCTTTCTACATATGTAAAAGAGGTATTAGCCAAGATCTAGAGATCCCACTTGAAATATAAACAACACTTGTTAATAGTCTTGCCTGCACTGCAATACTCTTGTGAAGCCCAAGGGGGAATTTCATATACTGTACACAGACCAAGAAGGAGAACACACTTAATCGTACAGTTATGTATGTGAAAATCCCACAAGTCCTTGAAGATGGCAGTGTCCTTAAACTGCAGCAATATAAGCATACTAAAGAGGCTGCATAGCACAGAGGTCAGTGTACTCATAATAGTTTTCTTCTAAACCTTAATCCTGTGGCAAACTGAACCATGTAAAATATTACAGATATGCATTGCAGATTAATTTCTTTTTTGGGTACTGTGTCGTCTTGCCCTGCCTTATCCCATCCAGCAGTTGCTGTAGTGCAGTGTTTCCCAAACGTTTTTGGGCAACGGCACACCTGTTTACCGGAAAAAAATCTCGCGGCACACCACCATTAAAGCCCCGCCCCGTGACGTCAGCGCGCAGCGTCACGCCGGGAGGGACGCACAAAAGTGAAAGTTTTTTCCCTTCCCCTTGCCGGGGTGGGAGGAGGCAGCAGAGCGAGGGACTGAGGGACGGCGGCAGCTGAGGCGGCGGCGATAGCGGGCGGAGGAGGAGCCGTCGCCGGGAGTTGCTGCTGCTGCTGTTGCTGCTGCTGCCCGGACATGCCGGCCTCCTCCTCCTCCGCTGTCTCGCAAGCAACCCACCCTCCCCCCGCTTCCCCAGACCGTCTCCCCCCCACCGCCGTGTCCCCTACCTGTGCTGCAGCCCCACTAGCCCCAGCGTGATCACATGGGGCACGTCCAGCTCCGTGGGCCACAGGCCGGAGGCGATACACCCGAACACGCCGCACTCCTCCCGAATCCCCAGCTCCTCGAATTCCATGGTGCCCGAGCGAACACGTGTTGTTGTCAGCGCAGCTGCTTCTGTTATTGCCGCTGCTGCCTCCTGCCGCCGCCGCCGCCTGGGTTTGAGGGGGGGGCGGAGGAGGAGGAGAAGGAGGCGGCGGCCTCAGAGGCGCGAGTTCCTCTCCGCGCCCACCCCTTGCGCCCGCCTCATTTACATGCATACATTACGAAGGGGCGAAATTCCCCGCCTCGGGGCTGCTCCGCGTGGTGGAGTTGGTTTCCCCACCCCAGAGGAGCAGAGCAAGAGAGGTCGCCTTCGGGGCGGGGGGGCTACTTTGTATCTGCCTTTGGACACAAGTTAGCTCCCGCTCGCTCTTTCTCTCTCCCCACAAGTTAACTTTGTTTCCCTCTCTCTTTCTCTCCGCGCGCTTCTGAGAGCGAGTTTTGCCCAGTGGCTCCGAGAGTGTAAACGGCTGGCTGAAGTGCTGAGGAGACCGCGAAGGGCGGAGGGAGCTGGGCTTTGCGCGCGACGGAAGGGGTTATTCCCCCCCCCCTTATGGAAACGGGGTTTGAGGGAATAAGGGGTAGGGAGGAGACTTCGGTTTTTGCGCGACTGAGCAGGGGAAGGGGGCGTCGGCGGGCGCTCGCCTCAGATTGGAGAAACGCTACCAAAGGGTTGTGAGCGGGGGGGGGTGTTAAAAACATCCCTCCCTCCGTGGGTGGAGGAAAGGGGGCTGGGAGGCAGGATGTGGCCCCGGCGGAGAGTTTTAGGTGGCCCAACCCCTTCCCTTTCCCAATGAGGTGGAAGCATTGGCGGGTTTCTGCAACCGCGCCCCGCCCCCTTCCGCCGTCCGTGCCCCCCCTCCCTTCGTACGCAGCCCCAAAAGTGCCTCCGGACTCCGAACGCGCTTCTTTTTCGGGTCGCTTCCCTCTCGCGCGCTGCTCACTTGGTTTTGTTCTCTCCTAGGCGCCCGACTCGCCCGCCTCCCTCCCACGGCACACCAGCCGGTGTCTCACGGCACACTAGTGTGCCGCGGAACACCGGTTGGGAAACACTGCTGTAGTGTCAAAGCACCAGCATGCTGATTCACACACTTGATTTCATCATGTACTCTCTCAGGACAGCAGCTCACATGATATCAATATCTAACAATAAATTGGTTAATATTACCTACTATACATAGAATTATTGGAGGGCTTTGTGTTTCTAGCTGGTTCGATTTCCAGGTAAACTCCTGCTAGGTTTGCACTGGGCCCCGGATTCCAACTAATCCAAAATCAGGAAGGTTGTAGAGGGGAATGAAAGGCATACAATGAGATACCATAGCTGTCAACTTTTCCCCTTTTGTTGCGAGGAATCCTATTCAGAATAAGGGAATTTCCCTTAAAAAAAGGGAAACGTTGACAGCTATGTGAGATTCACACACAGCCTTATGATTCAAAACAGCTCAGGGGGGTTGTTTATTTACAGATTTGCAATATCAAAATTTTGGAAAAGGCATACACATCCCTTTCCCCAATGCCAGTTACAAGAGAGCTGGATGAAGCAGAAAGACTCCTTCCTCATAACTGAATCCACATGAAAGAAGTCTATTTTAAATGGAGCTGCTGAAGCTGCCAGTTGCTTCAGGCTCTTCCACAGGATCTGCTATACAGAGCACAGACTGGTTGTTGTTTTTGTGTGGGTTTTTTTTTTTTTGTGGGGACGGGAAGGCTTGGGTATGTTGGGTTGGCTGTTTGGGGCCAGAGACCATGAGCAAATTTGGAGAAGATTTTGACTGTAGGTGGACACATACTCATTGGACATGCATGGCGGCAAATGTGGGCAGTGGGAAGAGTCCCAGTTTGTAAACAGTTTGTATACAGTTATGTACTCCCCACCCTGTCCAGAGGGAGCTTAAATCTTTGGTTCAGCATTCTTAAGCTTGTTTGTAACATGACAACTCTGATGAGCACTGATATATTAAACCTCTCATGGGTTCTTTCAATGTATGAGGGGATAGTCTCCCTAAAGCAGAGTTGGGTAAGATGTGGTCCTCTAGATGACGTAGGATCCAACGCCTATCAGCCTTAGCCAGCACAGCCAATAGTAAGGGACAATGCGAGTTGTAGTTCAGCAACATCTGGAGACCTACAGGGTAACTACCCCCGTCCTAGAGAAAAGGGGAGAAGCAGCTAGAACAACTGATCATCAACTTATATTGTATTCCATTGAAATAACTTGATATACAAATCCCATTGTGTACTTGACTAAAACTGATGACCATCTATCACAAGTAGCTACCACTAAGGCCAATGAATATTTCCATATACTTTTATACTCTGCAAGATACCTACAGTCTTGGGTTTGTTTGTTTTTAACAATAATATCTTATTCAGGGA